GCTCTGTGCTGACGGCTCGGAGCCTGGAGCCTGCTTCGGATTCCGTGTCTCCCCCTCTCTCTCTCTGCCCCTCCCCTGCTCACGCTCTGTCTCTCTCTGTCTCAAAAATAAATAACATTAAAAAAAAATGGTTTTTTTAATGAAATAAATAGGGACACTTTTGGGTGGCTCAGCCGGTTAAGCGACTGACTTCAGCTCAGGTCACGACCTCAACATCGTGGGCTCGAGCCCTGCGTCAGGCTCTGTAATAACTGGGAGCCTGGAAACTGTTTCGGATTCTGTGTATCCCTCTCTCTCTGCCTCTCCCCTCCTCATACTCTCTCTCTGTCTCTCAAAAATTAACAGAAATAAAATAAAACATTTAAAAAATTTTTAACAGTTAAATAAAAATAAGCAAACAACTTATTAGAGTAAAACTAGAGTTTATGCATTTAAAGTCATAAAGAATAATGGAATACTAACGAGGGGAGAAAAAAAGAGATAAAATATCAAAAGGGAGGAAGGAAAAATATTATTTGCAAATGATACGATTATCTACCTAGAAACCAGAGAATCAACTTACAAACCATCCTAGCAAGGTATCTCGGCCCCAGTTACGTTTCTCAGTTTAAAAAAATTAATCTATTCAAACAATATCTTCCCTATATCCCAGCCCAAACTTGTAAGAAAATATAAGAAGTAAAAATCCCATTCAGGAAATATAAGTTAAATTTGATAAGAAATGCATAGGAAATACGTAAAGCAAACTGTAGCACTGGGCTGAAGAAAAAGTGAACCTCCCTTTGGCATTGGGGGGGGGGGTAGTCTTACTACGTTCTCTTAAGGGAGGTCATGCTATTACAGCAATCTTAATTTCTCCCAAATAGATTTAGTGCAATCTCATGCAATTAGATTGCAATTCGGTGCAACTTAAGTACTGCGGTTAAGTCTTTATTAAAATGGCCCAATGATTATAAACTTTCCTGGAATTAAAAGCAGCCGAGGCTACATATTATCATCCTCAAAAATAAAAATAATAACAGTTGTTTGATCAGCCTGATAGTTACATCTATTAAAAATTTAGACCAACCACTATATTAATAACAGGTCCTTGTAACAATAGATATTAAACTATGTATTAAGCCCAGAAACACATATAAACATATCAAAGTTTATTTTACCAAAAGTTGCTATTTTAAATCAGAAGAAAGAAATGTGAAGTATTCCCCCCAAAAAATGTTGGTAGAACTCAATCACTTGGAAAACAAGTCTGAATCCCGACTTAAGCTGCGCGATAAACATCTGTACATGAAGTAAAGACAGTAAAGAAACAATGAACTTTTAGGAAGGAACCGTCTATGCTGTGTGCGGTCGGTTTCTCTCTTTCTCTCCTTTTCCCTCGGTGTGAGCTCAATGATGGCAAGGTCAAAGACTGCCCTAACTGGTTGAGGCAGCCCATTTGTAAAGCCTGCAAGGACCTCAGATTAACGCACAGTCGTGACAAATCACAGTATTGCATTCCTGAAACTAATATAACCTGTATGTTAACTGCACTGGAATTAAAATTAAAAAAATAATAAAAATGAATAAAAACTAAAACTAACACAAAAAGCTCTCAGGAGATTGAAGTCTGCTGATGGTCGGTCTTGGTATCCTGGTGAGAGTGTCAGTGGGGGACAGGCCGGGGCAGTGACCGCCCACAGGTGCACCGGCTAGGGGAACCTTTTCTGTCACCCATGCGGCTTCACTCTGACATTCTTCATTCTGCAGGGCCATACGGGTCCACTTGTCTTTACACACCCAAACACATTCACCTAAAGCCACCCGGTCAATAAAACCCCTTTATATCAACAAAACAGAACATACAACAAGTTTACAGATTTTCGGACCACATAATTATGGCATCTAATTTACAAAGCCTCTAAGCCAAGTTTTCTATTGTTGCACAAACCACTGGCAGTCCTGATGACATTATATACAGTTCTGTGTGGTCTTTACTGATTTCCCGCCCCACCTCACCCTCAAACAAAGGCAACTACAACCAACGTACAAAAAGACAAAAAACTAGGGAACTACCTCATGCCAGAACCATCAGGGGCTGTTTGCTAAATTAGTGACCGGGAGGACCCAAAGAATAGGTGACATTGGAGTCAACTCACAGCTCCCTGCCAGACGCCTGGGCTCTGCTCCTTCTTCAGAAAGGGCAGGAGAGGAAACCGCCTCCGGGTCAGGGCGGCCGGGTCCTTCCTGCAGCAGGAAGTGGGCGGAGCAAGTGCACCGGGGAACCAGAGGCGATCTTGCAATTCCGGGGGGGCCAGGCCCTCGGTGCGCAAAGGCTCTGCGCCCGAGGGGAGACGCGTGACCGTGACTGCCCTCTGACATTTTCCCCCAGCTGCTTCGCTCGAGATGGAAAATTGACAGGGACCAACTTTGCAACAATGTGTCAGTGTGACTGAGCCGAGCAAATACTGCGGATCCTGCAGACCAGCTGAGCGCTGCTGCCTCGTGGCCCAGTGCCCCGAGGATGCAGGGTGTTGAAGAAGCCTTGCTTCCTCCTCCCAGAGCCGCAAAACTGAGAGCGGGGGCCAAAGAGGACGCTTCTGGGACCCCGCCACCGGTGCTGGGGTCCCCGCGCTGGCTGTCACCTGGCCTTGGGTCTGCAAGGTGGATTTAAAGCTCCCAGCCCTCCGGCACCCGCCCAATGGAAGCTGCAGAGGCCGCCGAGGTAAACAGGGGGTTCCACCTCTGCTGTGTTTGGGGAGTGACACCCTCAGGCAGGCGCCGTCCGTCCGGGCAGGAGCAAAGTTACTAGAAAAGTCCAAGGGGTGAGATGTTTTGGAGGGGAAAAGAAGGCAGCAAAAGAGAGTATTACCTGCTAGTGAGAAATGGACACCTTTTCCAAGAAGGTTTAATCAGAGCGTGTAAGCGGAGTCAGCATTTGAAATATTCCCTGTACCTTCGGAATTATTAGCGGGGGCAAGGAAGCAAGAGGAGGAGGAGGACAGATAAGAGGGACATGGTTTTAGTGGAGTATAAAATACAGTATAAAATACAAACATGAAGTGTATGTGTCATGATAACAAAGGCTGCTGGGTTAAACTCACCCCTGCAAAGGAGACAGTGCTCAGCGTGGGGGAAGTATTTGTAAGAAACACAGATTAAGTGAAATGGCTCAGAAAGGTAGAAACCAAAGGCGACGGCACTGCATTCCAGAGAATCTGAAGCAAGCACACACACAAGAAATGTGAGAGGGCAGTAATTTTAGACAATTTTAGAAAATCAAAGTTAACCTTTCCAGGGGGACACACTTACCGAATCTTTTTTGATATTGTAATATAACATCAGGATGTTCAATAAAAACTGCTTGGAGGGGAGCCTGGGTGGCTTAGTCGGTTAAGCGTCTGACTCTTGACCTCAGCTCAGGTCATGATGTGAGGATTTGTGAGTTCGAGCCCCGTGTTGGGCTCTGCACTGACAGCCCGGAGCCTGGTTGGGATCCTCTCTCTCTCTCTCTCTCTCTTCCTGTCCCTTTCTCTATCTCTCTCAAAATAAGTAAACATTAAAAAAAATTTTTTAAGCTGCTTGGACATAAATGGAAACTAAAAGAGATAATAATGAAAACTTCAATATACCTTGTAGATTTTAATAGGTCAACTATGTAGAAACAAATAAGATTTTTGGGTCTGAATATGATTACTGCCATAGCTATGCCCAGCTCCATATCTTGGAAATAGAGGATAAACCTTTGCTATGGAGTATTTCCCAGATTTCTTATGTGCTTATTCATAAGGACAACCTCAGTAGTTTCTCTATTAAAATAATTTGTATGAGCTCCCATGTTTTTAGCTTCTGGTTGTGTTTCCTTCACTTGCACAAAATTAACTAACAAAGACATGTTTAATTCCAGATCCAGAGTTTTGCCATTTCTAATCAGCAACCTTGCATATAAATGCATCTTGATGAATTTTTGTGATGCACCATTATGGGAACTCTTACTACTGGCAATACTGAGTCAATTGAAATTTTTCTAATGTTTGTTTATTTTTGAGAGAGAGACAGAGCATGAGCAGGGGAGGGGCAGAGAGGGAGGGAGTCACAGAATCCGAAGCAGGCTCCAGTCTCCGAGCTGTCAGCACTGAGCCCGACTTGGAGCTCAAACCCATAGACCGCAAGACCATGACCGGAGGTGAAGTCGGATGCTTTACCCACTGAGCCACCCAGGCGCCCCTATTGAATTTTTGATTGATACCTACCAAATTTCCCTCCAACCATCATTTGGACCATTTCTTTCAATAAATTCGCTAACCAGTTATTATTATCGCTTAACGGGAAAAAATTTATTTCTGTATTAATTGATCAGCAAAGTTACCGGGTGTGTTTACTGTTTCTGTAGCTTTCCAGTCAACCCACTTTGATTTTCAAGGTAAGCAATCATGTCATTTACACATAACGTGAATTTCACCCTTTCCCAGGGTTGATTCCTTTATTTCGCTCTCAACTCCTTCCTCTTAAGTGAAAACCTCACTGCTTATTGCACAGACGAAATGCCAACCCGTGTACTGACCCGCCACGTGGCTGCTCATAAATCCCACCTTCTCTGGAGCTACTTCGGATTCACTCTAGGTTATGTCCAAGGCCCACGCCTGCAGTGTGCTTGGGTTTCATCCTCTCTGGATGACTCAAATACTTTCATTCTGCGTGTGCGCCTCTCTCCCACGGTGAAACCGCATGACTGAATAATGTCATCAGCTTAGGTGTTACTACTACACCTAAGTCTAAGACAGACAAACAATCCACGTTCCCCCACAGGGACTGTGTCATTTATCTGCTCCCTTTTACAGTGCTGTTTGTTCTTGCTGTCTCCATTTCCTCCGCTCACATTCCCTCCTTCCTCACCCCCACTCCCCCTTCTCTCCCTCCGTCCCCCTCCCTCTCCCCTTCCTTCCTTCCTTCCTTCCTTCCTTCCTTCCTTCCTTCCTTCCTTCCAAAACACAGGTAGAGAAAACTGCCTGAAACAAACATGTAATTCCGTGAACACTCTTTTAATCACCACTGTGGACATAAAAGAATATTGCCAGAACCTCATAAGTTTTCCATGTGGTCTGTCCTAATCACATCTTCCTCCCCTTAAAAGTAATAACTATCCTGACATTTAGAACAATGTCTTCTCTGCGTGTCTTTACGGATTGGCCACCCTCCACCCTGATAGTGTTGCCAGTTTTTAAAAATGTAATGCTTTTAAAGTCACTTTTGATCTAGACGCTCCCCCTCCTGTCCCTTTTCTTTTTCTTTGTAATTTGTCTGTTAAAAAATCTACTAAGGCCTTTGACTGTAAAATTCCCACAGTTTAGATTTGCTGACGATGTCCTTAGGATTTTGGTCCACGCATTCTGCACTCTCCAGTCTCTGTCTTTCTTGCAAAACAGCAGCTGCTATCTACAGGCTTGACTGTACTCAGCTGATGTTCTTAGCAAGACCCTGGTGACGTGTGTTCTTGGGTCAGGATGTACACGGTGTGTCTGTATCTCTCTTTGCCGCTGTCGGGGCAAAAACAAAACAAAACAAAACAAAAAAACAGATCCCTTTATTCACTAGAGTTTGTTCAGTAAAGATATCCTACATATACCAATTCTTATTTATGCATTAGGGGAAATAATTCTATAAAGACACACGTCTACTCTTTATTTACCTCTGACAGAGTTGAAAGAAGAAAGGCACAGTATCAGATTCTCTTTTGAACTTGAATGTGCCCTTAGTCTCCATCATTCGTTCTAGTCAGGGTCACCTTTAAGGTACCTCTTGCCAAACCCATTAGTAAATTCCAGACCTTATGTAATTTGACTTCTGGGTAACATTTCCCTCCCGGGGTGATACCACATTCTCCAGCTGTGCTCCCTGCTCAACCCAGGGCCCTGCCCAGTCCCCCCTTGGAAGCCTTCCCTTCTCTTCCTCATCCTTAAGGTTAGACAGTCCCAGCCCTACTGGTTCCCCAGAATCTCAGAGCGACACCTCTTCTGGGCTGCGTGCTGTCCCCACCTGGACATGGCCCCCTTCCCCCAAACCCAAACTTGTACCCCGCCCAGCACCACAGTCTGCTCAGGGGGTACCCTCAACCCTGCCCTCTCCTGCACCCCCACTTTCAAAATCGGACCTCAAGCCGATCGCTTCTTACCTTCAGAGGCGTGTTTGTTCTGGTCTGTCTTTATCCCAGTCCTGAATTTCTGCTTTCCCAAATATGAGACAGAAAAGTAGGCTTGTCACATTAACGCCTGCCGTCAGGAAGAAGATTTTAAACCAGCCAGATTCTGGATTCTGAGGATTTTAGTGCAAAGTAATTATAAATTAGTGGGCTTGAGGTGCTTTTTAACACTTCCAATATCATATTAAAATCAGTACAGGTTTAGCACAAATCACTTTACAGACATGGAAAAACACACTCATAAGGAGCAAAAAAAATTTGTCAGTTCACTCTACAAAGATAATTACCATTTATCTTCCTCCTTTTTTGATTTGTGTCTATGTGCATATAATTTTTCATATATCAAAATGGCATTATGATGTACATAGTGCCCAAGCCAAGAATGCATATATTTTTATTTAGAATTATAAACGTGTTTAAAAAAAAAAGAAATATGAACGTTTGCATATCAAGAAATATTCAACCTTTACTGACTTATTAGTAATCCAGAGTTTAGATTTATAAAATGTGTAAAACATCCCTTATTTCCTTATATTTAAGTGGTTTTTCACTTTTTGCTGCTATAAATTGGAGCACTTTTGAACAAAAGTTATCAAATACCTTTTCCTTATTCCTAACTCATTTTCTCTTTGAGATCTTGTAATATTCAGCCACTTTAACTTTCATAGAAAATGGCTTACTTAATCATGGTGTCATAGGCATATATTTTAATATGCTGGTGGACTCTATGCACAGGTAATTTATGTCATTTTTGCATCTATATTCAAAGATGGCATTGAATTTTAATTATGTTTGAGATCTGTTTTACCATTTTGCCTTTTAACTTTTGCCTTTTAACTCAAACAATTGAGGGTCAGCCGCTTAGCTGTTTAGAGTGTGTATTTCTCTGGCAAAACTATCTTATTCAGCTACTTCTAAGCTACGTGACCCAGAAACATTTTTCCCTCTAATTCTTAGTGTCTCCAGCTATAAATGGCCAAAATGACATAGAAACATCATGGGATTTATGGGTTTACTGAATCCGATCATGCATGCAAGTGTCAGACGCTCATATACTCAACCCATAACAGCTATTAGTCTCATTACTCCGCACCCTTTGAAATCAGGAAAAACAAACTCCTGTTTGCTATCTTATCCTGCAGCAAAATGCTAGCAAACCCAGTTGCTCAAGAAAAGTAAGTTACAGGTATATACAATGTAAATGCAGAAGAACAAAATAACATGATGTACAGAGAACAGAGTGTCCCCCTGGGGAGAAAGAATCAAAGTCAGTTCGCACATTGTGGAAAAATCTAAAGAGCAGTTTATCAACCCATACACAAAATACCTATGGGGGAAAAATGAAATTTGTGCAAAGTCCCCTATGAAGAAAACTGCACACCTAGAAGCAGTATCAGTGAAAATACACAAAGAAAGAGGCACAGTCAAGCTTCCATGCTGGACTTCAATTCCAAATCACAATGAATTGTATTAACTTCAAATCATCGCAAACTGTATTATTTGTCGTTGAATTTCTGGGCAGGTCTCGCTCCTTTTCTTGACTTTGCCAATGAGCTGCCAAGCGTGGCATGTTTAAATTAGAGAGATCAGTATAATTAAATATATTTAATGTCTAGTCTGGAAACATGTTTTTATTTCTCAAGGTCTACTCCTAAATTATATATATATATATATTTTTTTTTCCTAAATTATATTTTAAATAAAACCGATGATGATTTGGTCAAGTTGCGAAAAAAATACATTCTGGATGATGAAGTTTCATTTCAAACCGTGGGCATGGATTTATTTAAAAAAAAAAAAACAAAAAAAAAACCAAACAGGGGCGCCTGGGTGGCGCAGTCGGCTAAGCGTCCGACTTCAGCCAGGTCACGATCTCGCGGTCCGTGAGTTCGAGCCCCGCGTCGGGCTCTGGGCTGATGGCTCAGAGCCTGGAGCCTGTTTCCGATTCTGTGTCTCCCTCTCTCTCTGCCCCTCCCCCGTTCATGCTCTGTCTCTCTCTGTCCCAAAAATAAATAAACATTGGAAAAAAAAAATTAAAAAAAAAGAAAACTTTTTTCCTGATAATATAGCAATGCCATCTTTCTTTGGTTAATGTTTGCTTCATTCTTTTTTTATGCCGTCCTTACAACTTTCAATATTTCTATCTCTTTATTCTAGGCAGGTATCTTATATATAAATGGCCTAAGAATGGATTGAGTTTTTAATCCAGTCTTAAAAACTTTGTCCTTTAACCACAGAAGTTAGTACGCCTATATTTATTGTGACCACTGGCGTATTTGCTACAATTTCTGTGTTTTCAATCTTTCCTATATATTAACCATATTCTTACTCACCCCCCCCCACACATATCATTTCTTCTTTCAAATCGAGGGGGTTTTGCCTTTTTTTTTTTTCCGCATCGCATGTTTCTCCTCTACCCTGGTTTGAAAGTTTCACATTCTGCCTATTTTTAATGTTACCCATATACCAAAAAAAGAAAATTGTAATATTAATCCCTATATTTTAAAAAATCAGAAGGACCAGGAGGAGGGTAAACAGGGAGTTGTTCAGTGAGGAAAAAGTTTCAGTCATGCAAGATAACAAAGTTCTAAAGATCTGTTGTACGACAATGTACACATAGTTAACAATACTCTTAATACTGTAATGTACACTTAAAAATTAAGAGGACAAATTTATGTGTCTTTTACTACAATAAATTTAGAAAAAAAAAAGTCAGAGAAGAATCCTATAGCCTCTGAATAAAAACTGATTCATGAAAAAAAATTAGCTCTTTAGTTTCTCATCAGTGTCTCCCAGATTATTTTTTCTTATACTCTAGCTCTGTCTTGTTTTTCCTTATAACTATACATGTTGTGTTATTAACAGTATGTTATAAAGTCAGTATTTTTAAAAATTATGTTTATGTTACTTTCCTTTTGAAAGAGAGAGAGGGAGAAAATGAGTGGGGGAGGGGCAGAGAGAGAGAGGGAGACACAGAATCCGAAGCAGACTCCGGGCTCTGAGCTGTCAGCACGGAGCCTGATGCAGGGCTCGAACCCACAACGGTGAGATCATGACCTGAGCTGAAGTCGGACAGTAAACCAATTGAGCCACCTAGGTGCCCTTATAAAGTCAGTATTCTAAAAAAATTTCTCCAGTACCGTCTTGCATATTTTGGGGTGTGTTCTAATTCCAAAACAATTCCTTTTGTTAGTAGTGTGAATGATGCCATATATATATAAAATGCCCACTAGGTAACATTTCTGGTATTTATAAACGCTGCTATTTAAGTATGTTGATTTCATTTTGAGCAAACTTACTGAACTCCATTCTTCCTTTCTTCCATTTTCTATTTTTTATTGCTCGTGTTGGTTTTCTGAAGCCTTATTTTATTCTCTCTGATTCTTTAATCTATATTTTTCTTTCCTTTTAAAACAGCGTCTAGAAATTCCAGTCCAGTGTTAAAAAGTTGATAAGTAATGTAGGTATGAGCATCCTTTTCTCATTTCTCACCTTCAGGAGTATGCATCTTATTTTTTATTCAACTTTTTCATTTCCTTATTGTTTCTTTTATAAACTGTCAGCTGCCATCATATACAAAGCTTTGTGAGGTTACATTACTGACGAAACATCGTCACTTAACATCATCTAATGCAAATAATTGCTTTTACCACCTTTTCCAAATGCAAACACCTGTTTTGAAACACTTTAAGTTCTTCTTCTTTTCTTTTGGAATGAAATATCTAGCTTTATATTTTTTTTTGGAATTTTTTTTTTTGGTTTTATTTAAATTCCAGCAGTTAACATACAGTGCTATATTCCTTTCAGGAGTACGATATAGTGATTCAACACATCCATACGTTACCTGGTGAGAAGTCACCCCCACCCCGTGACCATCCGTGAGTTCTCGATAGTTAAGAATCTGTTTCTTGGTTTGCCTCTTTCCCTCTCTTTTTTTCCCCTTTGCTCATTTGTTTTATTTCTTAAATTCCACATGTGAATGAAGTCTTATGGGATTTGTCTTTCTTTGACTGATTTCACATCGTGTAATACTCTCTACCTCTATCCACATCAGAAATGCATCTTAAGGGGCGCCTGGGTGGCGCAGTCGGTTAAGCGTCCGACTTCAACCAGGTCACGATCTCACGGTCCGTGAGTTCGAGCCCCGCGTCGGGCTCTGGGCTGATGGCTCAGAGCCTGGAGCCTGTTTCCGATTCTGTGTCTCCCTCTCTCTCTGCCCCTCGCCCGTTCATGCTCTGTCTCTCTCTGTCCCAAAAATAAATAAACGTTGAAAAAAAAATGCATCTTAAATTTCTTCATCCGGTAAAAATAATCTATAGTATTTTGGCGTAAAAAATTTCCACATTGGGGTGCCTGGGTGGCTCAGTCGGCTGAGTGTCCGACTTCGGCTTAGGTCAGGATCTCGCAGTTTGCGAGTTCGAGCCCCACGTCGGGCTCTGTGCTGACAGCTCAAAACCTGCAGCCTGCTTCAGATTCTGTGTCTCCCTCTCTCTCTGTCCCTTTCCTGCTCATGCTCTGTCTCTCTCTGTCTCTCAAAAATGAATAAACATTAAAAAAAAAAAGTTGAAAAAAATTTCCACATTAAAGAAGTTCCTTTCTTTCCTTATTTTGCTAATCGGATGCAAAAAAAAAAAAAAAACGTATACGTAGCTATTGGAATTTTATGTGCCAATTGAGATAATCATAGAAGTTTTTTTTCTACGTTGATCTAATGCGACGAATTATACCAGTAAATACACTTACATTAAACTATCTTTGCTTTACCGAAATAAAATCCACTTGGTCATGAGGTATTGTTTTTTAATATACTCTTAGCTTTGGTTGACTAATAATTTCTTTAGGACTTTTGCATCTCTGTTCATGAGTTAAATAGGCCTAAATATTTCTTCCGTTGCTATCATCTGGTTCTGGAATCAAAATTATACAAACCTTATAAGTGCTTTCAGAATTCTTTTTCTTAATTTCCGGTATCAGTAGTTGAGAACAGGAATAAACTATCCAATATTAGGTAGCACACAGCTGGTAAGCCACCTCGGCCTGAGTTCAGGTTCAAGATGTTTGAATGCTACTTCAGGTTTTCCATTTTGATTGGTCCATCCGTGGTCTCTATCTTTCGTGAGCCAATTTGGGTAAATTATATATTTTTAGAAATGATTTTGTTCATCCAGGTTTCCCCACTTTTCAGCCTGGGGTTGTTCTGAATATTCTTGGCTTTTTTTTTTTTTTTTAATTTTTTTTCAACGTTTTTATTTATTTTTGGGACAGAGAGAGACAGAGCATGAACGGGGGAGGGGCGGAGGGAGGAGACACTTTAGTCCTTGTCTTTCGCTCCAGGCTCTGAGCCATCAGCCCAGCGTTTGACGCGGGGCTCGAACTCACGGACCGTGAGATCGTGACCTGGCTGAAGTCGGACGCTTAACCGACTGTGCCAGCCAGGCGCCCCTTAATCTACATTGTCCCTGAAAACATTTCCCTTTTCTCATTTGGCATTTTATTTGAATCTTTTCTCTTCTATCCTGCTCCAGAAAGTTTATCTGATTAATCTTTTCACGTTACCAACTTTAAGTTTTATATATCTTCTCTATGGTTTTATTAACTGTAGAATTTACTTATTTGCCCCCTTATTACTTTAGTCCTTGTCTTTCGGGTTCACTCTGTTGTTTTTCTCCCCCCCCCCAAGTTCTGGAGTCGAATGCTCCGTTTATTTATTTTTGGTTGTTTTTCTGGTGTTTTCTTTTATAAATTAGGTGAAGTTGTAAATTAATGTCCCATATACTTCCAAATGTACCAATTTCACCATCATTGAGTTCAAGTATTACTTGATTCTTTTTTTGATGTTCTCTTAAACCTAATAATTATTTACTGTTATGTTGTTCAGTTTTATAAACGTACGTGACCTTCTTAGAAATCCTGTCGGTATTGATTTTGGGTGTTATTGCACTTTGGTTTTCTATAGGATACTGGTCCTCTGGAATCTGATTTACCATCTTTTCTCAGTGGGAGAACCGAGTCAAATCACTGAGCTTGCCAATATAGGCAATTAACGATCTAAGACATTTCTTATTTTCGAAATATACGTGGCTTTTTCTACGTGTCTTTTCTCTTTCATTTCTGTCATAAATGAACTGTGATTGGAGGACACATTTTGTGTAATCACAGTCCTGTTTACAATTGCTAGGATTTACATAATGGCACAGTATGTGGTCAGATTTTGTTAATGTTCCGGGACACCTTGAAAGGAATGAGGATTCTGCGGTTGTTGAGTGGGGCATTACTCTGTACGTGTCAGTTAGGCCAAGTGTGTTAATTGTGTTGCTCACGTCTTTTATACTCGTATAGATTTGTCCTCCTTTTTGCAACAACTACGATAAGTGATGTATTGATATCTTTCACCATAGATGTCTGTGTACCTTTTAATGGCAGAGATTTGTGGGTGTTTTGGTTACACCGGGGTGCATAGCAGGTTGGCTGGGAGCTGTGCTCCAGTCCCCTCGTTCCCAGACCCTGGACGGTAGGGATGCGGTCACCATTGGGATTGTTACCAGTCGCTGTGTCAGAGCACGAGAACGGCCTCCTGATTCGTAACGCTTCTCTTCGGAATTAACCCGTATAACTTCATCTCCTATGTCGTTGGCCAAAATAACTCGCATGAGTACATTTAACTCCATGGAAGTGGGAAAAGGCCAAGAAGAGAACCAGAAAAATTATTGCAGCTGCGGTAATTAACCTCCTGCTCTGCCCTTCTGGTCACCACAGATCTGGTTGACTCACCTTACCCCACACAGAACACATTAATCAAGGCCGAGCACTCATTCGATCACCTCAGGACCCGATCAGAGGGCGTTCAAGTGCACAGCGAGAGGTAGCCCTCGGGATGCCTGCCTCACCTCCGTAAACCAGCTGCTGCTGTCTGTCTCCCAATCTGGCTTCCAGAAAGGAAGGATTTATGATGGCTGTTGGATGGCCGTGCTACCACAGGATACGGCACGATGGAGCTTCCGGCCTTTTAAGTTGCCTTTACTAACAGAATTGGCCCAAATTACTCTCTCATTACTGGAATCAGAAGCCTCACCAATTCTCTTGTTAGCTGCATTTAATCCGAAATTTTTTGTTTCATTTTTTATATTCTTGGTTACCACAGGTTAGATTTGGTTCTTTGTCAGATGCTATGCTTCTTTATATTTTTGATCCTCTCTTTTGCTTCTTTAAATACATACATAGGGGCACCTGGGTCAAGCGTCCGACTTCAGCTCAGGTCATGATCTCGTGGTTCGTGAGTTCGAGCCTCGAGTCGGGCTCTGTGCTGACAGCTCGGAGCCTGGAGCCTGCTTCGGGTTCTGTGCCTGCCTCTCTCTCTGCCCCTCCGCTGCTCGTGCTCTGTCTCTCTTTCTCTCTCTCTTTCGAAAATAAACATTTAAAAACATTTTTTAAATATTTACATAGATTTCAAATACCTTTAAAGATATATTCCAAATTTTTTTTATTCTCTCACATGACCCCTTGTTTCTTCACGTGTCTGGTGATTTTTGGTTGATTGTGAAATCACATTCCCTAATCTTCCCTGCACGAGAAAATCCTGGAGTATGAATTTAGGGTGAGTTTCTCCAGAGAAATTTCACTAGTTTCTACCAGGCATCTGTGGCCTCCTCGAAATTTCAATTCTTGGCTTACGGCACTTGAAACCAGTCGGGTTTGAATCTGGGCCCCCAAACCTTGTGAAAATTGGTGTATTGATTCAGGTATTCAGAAGGTCTTTATTCTGTTTTTCCTTTCCCTCCGAAGCAGGGGCTGAGACAGACCAGCTCCCCCACTGGACGGAGACAGCTTTGGCTGTCTCTGGAGCCACGTTTCCTCCGAGCCTTCGGAAACCAGCGGAGAAGTCAGCTCACCTGACAAGCTTTTGGAGGTGCACTCAGCACGTCTGAGCGAGGTAAACCCAAAAACAGACCGAGTGGGCTCTGTGCTGGGGGCGGGGGGCAGCCTGGGCTCCTGGAGCTCTGCCTTTCCACGGAGGCCACCTCTCTCATCCGGGAGTTTCCACGCGTATAGTGATTTCTCCTGCCTTCCCGATACCTTACGTATGTGGAGCATGATGGTGGAGGGCTCCCCTCTTTGGGAAATCTGGCCATGGCAGACACAGACCATCTCTCCTTGGCCCGGGTCATCAGGGCCACGTAGAGGAATTGCCTGGATCCTGCTACACCACAGCTCATGGGCTTTCCCCCAAAGACACCAAGTTTGTATATGACCTTCACGGGGCTGGCGGTGTGAAGGGGCAGTCCTTTGTGATCACAGATTTATGCCGGCATGTCTGTCCCGACTTTTTTTTTTTGAGTGATTTTGGGATGTTATCTCTTGTTCCTGGTTTGTCCATCACAGCTGAAGAGGAAGGTCACCCAGGGCGGCCCGTGGCTTCAGCGGGCGTTTATGTCCCGGGGATCAAGCTCTTCCTTCGTGTTCGATCTCTGAAATTTTCTCTTGCGTCTTTTTCAAGATCAGCTCGGCACGTAGAATGATTGTGTAAGCTTGATAGGGCATTTTAGTGTTCTTAAAAGAAGGGTTTCAGGTAACCCTGCCCACAACACTTGTAGAAACACAAGTCAGCCTTTCTAGAAGTGTTTCTTCTGGTCTTTCATTCTAATTTGCTCCTGATTTTCAATTCCTTTTCTAGCAAAACTGTCTCTTGTTACTTATATCACCATTCACCCAGCCAAATTCCTGTTTTGATCAGGCCACACGCCCATTATTAAAAATCACAGAGGTCCTGGGCACGTGGCTGGCTCAGTCGTTTAAGAGTCAGACTTTGGCTCAGCTCATGATCTCAAGGTCTTGTGGGTTTGAGCCCCGCATCCAGCTCTGCACTGAGAGCTCAGAGCCTGGAGCTGGCTTTGGATTCTGGTTCTCCCTCTCTCTCTGCCCCTCCCCACTTGTGTGTGCTCTCTCTCTCTCAAATATTTTTTTTTTTTTTTAAATCACAGAGGTCCAATTCTGTCCCCCTGACCAACGACGAAAATGTTCCCAGCACAACTAATTGACATCCAGTGAGAAAGAAATTGTATTATCTGTAGGTTTGGAGGGATGCCTGATCTGACCAGGTTTGATGTGACAGAATATCTCATTGCTCACCTCTGGCAGATGTCACCTCTACAATTGTTTGTATATCCATTACCTTCTTTCTGCACAATTAATATGAGAACGGTAGTCGCCCATGTCTGAATGCTCCTTACCTCATTCAGGATCATTCCACACAGAATGGAAGAAATTAGTCCTCCTATCATTCCAATTACATTTGTAACTCCCTTAAGAAATCCATAATAACTGTGCGAAAAAGAACGACAAAACACAGATGTAAAGTCGTACAAACACTACAGGAAAAGCCAGCCTAATGAAATGAGGTTTAAGAGAGCTAACTGTTTATTTCCTGAATTTTTCATTCCTCTCCTCCTCAAATTCCATTAAAATGTCAAAAAAGTATGCCGATATAATTAACTTTCCGGTTACAGCACAAAGTCAGAAAAGTTGGCTTTTTAAGAGATTGAGAAAATGAGACCATATAGAGTGACAGCCAGCAGGATTAGGAAATCTGTAAATACAGTTGAGAAATTCGGAAAGTGGTGTTTATTGGCAATAGAAACCGGTTTAGGGTTAATACAGAACCGAAGGACTCTATTCACCTGGCCTGTTGCCCTAGTCCCAGATCCTGGCCCCAGCGACTGCTCCAGTCCTCAGACAAGGAGGGCGGAAGCTAGTTTCCAAACAACAGTGCTTGGCCAGTCCTGGGTACCCAGACCCAGCTCTGCCACAAGTCAACTACAAAAGCAGGGAAGCCCCAGAGAACGATCAGTAGACTAGGGGTCAAATCTATCTGTCAATCCACAGAGCACAAGGAAGTGCCTTTCAGAGAGCGGAATCAGTGTCTTACCGAGAAATGAGTTCTCTCCAGGATAGGGAGAAGGTCACCAGACCTTTCCTGCCTAACAGATTTCCCCATTAGAGGTTCTGTGTGTTCTTCCTTTTTCTGAAAGTGAGGGTTTTCTGTTTGCTTTGTTGTGTCCATTGGATTTTGTGTCCCTGGGTCTATTTTATTCCTCCTCTGCCTTCACATGTGGGAGGCTGTGTGTAGTTGGTCTGTTAGTTTCTGTGTCTTAAGAGAGGCATCACCTAGGGACCCAGAGTCTCTGCAAGCAGCCGTAGGCAGTCACTGGGTGCAAATTTGATTTGCTTTTTCGGGGGAGCTAGAGGGTGTGTCCTAATGTGTAAAGAAGAACATTTATGATCGTGAGCAGCCACAGGTGCAGATCGGGGCAGAGACCTCCAACTGTCCCCGGAAGGTAGAGTTCCCTTTTTCATTTTAGCGGTAGGACCCCTAAGGTCTTTGTGGGAATTGGGCCACTGAGGACTTTTGTGGGCCTTTGTCACATTTGCCTTCATGAGCCCCTCTCCCCATAACGATATTAAAAATTATATTTTATGACTGTGTGTGTGTGTGTTGAAGAACTTTTCAGTGTCATCTAGTTGTCAGATTTACTGACATGAAGTTGTCCATAATATGATTTCCTTTTTATATGCTGTGACTTACCATAATGCACACTTTGATGTTACTCATTTGACCATTTTTCTCTTTATTTTTCTTAATCAGCCTTCATTATTTTATCAATTTTATTAATTCCCAAAGAACCAACCTGTGACATTATCGATTTTATGTTATGACTTTTTTCCCCCTAATCTTCATAATTTGGGGGGAGGGTTAAATTTGCTCCTTTTTTCCTGGCTACTTGAGATCAAAACATGCTTACTGATTTGAAGACTTAACTGTCTTTCGACGTATATGTTTAAAGCTATACATGTCTCTCTGGGCATGATTTTAAAACCATCCCACATACTTTGAAATGTCCTATTTCATTATAATTTAGTGAAAGTATTTTCTAATTCCAACTGTGATTTCTTCTTTAACTCAGACATTAATTTGAAAGCAATAGGTTGTGTGTCATTTACTTTTGATGGCAACCTTAATTCACTGTGATCTAAGAATATACAGTAAAACCTTGGTATGTGAGCATAATTCGTTCCAGAAACATCCTTGTAATTGAAAGCACGTGTATATCAGAGTTAATTTCAAGAACCGTTGGCTCAGTTGTGATCAGGTGACATTTGGCCTCATGTACAACTCGTATTGCAAGATGTCGCTCGTTTATCAAGTTAAAATTTATTAGAAATGTTTGCTTGTCCTGCAGAACACTCACAGGACAAGTTACTCGCAGTCCAAGGTGTTACTCTTCTGAATGATTTCAATCGTTTTAAATTAATTGCAGCTCGCTTTATGACCCAGCATATTGTCAGTTTCAGTAACTGTCCTGTAGGCAACTGAAAATAATTGGGATCTCTCCTCGTTGAGCACAGTGTCGTGTTCCATATTCGTCAATTAGGTCAAGCCCGTCACATTTTGTTCTTGTCATTCTAGTCGTCCACGTCCTTACTAACTTCGTGTCTCCCCCATATTTTGTACAAGCTGTTCAAAGAGGTTATGAAAATTTCTCCCTCCATGGTACGTTTGTCTAGCTCTTTGAGTCCTCTCTGTTCGTACTGAACATAAATTAAGGCTGTATTCTTGGATTCAGAGGTATAATTCTGATATTTTTCTCTTCACCATTGTGAACTAACACTTTATTTCTAGTAGTGTTCCACTTTTTCCGATACTAGCATAGTTGTTTCAAGTTTCTTTTGGTTAATATTTGCGTGGGATACCTCTCTATATCCTTTAATTGCATCCGTGCTATGTCCTCATGTTTATTGCATGTTTTATTTGTAGCAGGCTACAGTGTCCTTTATCATTGAGCTGGACAGTCTTGATACTCACTTGGAATATTTCATCCATATTGGTCTAATACAATAACTGATATACTTAAGACTGTCTTTATCTCTTCACTATTTTCTTTTTGACGTCCGCTTTCACATTCCACTTTTTCTTTCTTCTAGATTCATTGGTTTTATTTTTTCCGTCTATGACAGTATTTCACTGTTGTTTTCAAGCACTGAAGATATTATAGCATGTCCTTTTCACTTTAGTATGAATTATACTTTTACTCTTTTCTCTACAACACCGGAAGCTTAGAACATTTTTAAGATTTTAATATTTTAACATTTCTGTGCATCTCCCTCTTTGCATTGTTGCATCCTGTATTTTAATTCCTTAATGCAGTTTGGTTTGATGTGCATTTCAACTCACAAGGTATTCTCTACTGTTTTGCAAATCAGTGGTCTCTATAATTACACACATATTTACCCCCTTGTCGCATCTGAATCGTCCTAGCACAATCAGGTTTCAATAGGGATAATTTCTTTTTACCTGAAAATTTTCTTTTGGTATCTCTTTTAGTGAACATCCACTGGTGACAATTTCTCTGTCTGAAAACATTTTTATTTTGCTTTGACTTTCGAAGAGTGTTTTCACTAGGTATAAAATTCTAGGCTGACATTTATTTCTTTTAGCACTTTATAGAGTTCATCTCATTACCTCTGGATTTCATGGTTTCTGTTGAAACCAGAGGTCAGGCTTAATATTGTGCTACTTGAAAGTAACATGCCTTTTCTCTCTAGTTCCTTTTAAGATTTTTTTCTTTGTCTTTGGTTTTTGGCATTCTTAATGTGTATATTATAATTTACATGTCACATGGTTGAAATTCACAGAGCTTTGTGCACGTGTGGTTTACCATCTTTCATTACTTTAATATTATTTGGGGCTGTTTTCTCATAAAATATGGCTTATGTCCCATTTTATTTCTCCTTTCCTTCTGAGTCTCAAGTACAGATTTGTTACCCTTTTTACTTCATTCCACATTTCCGTTTATTCTCTTTTTTTTTTCCTGTATATTTCAGTTTGGATATTTCCTATGATACACCTTCCTATATACCAATCCTGTCTTCTCTTTGTGGCTAATTTGTCATTAAACCTATCTATTGGGGCGCCTGGGTGGCTCAGTCAGTTGGGCGGCCAACTACAGTTCAGGTCATGATCTTGCAGTCTGTGAGTTCAAGCCCCGCATCAGGCTCTGTCCTGAGAGCTCAGAGCCTGGAGCCTGCTTCCGATTCTGGTTCTCCCTCTCTCTGCCCCTTCCCTGCTTGCTCTCTGTCTCTCTCTCCCTCTCAAAAGAAATAAAAAAAAAAACAATAAAAATTTTTTTAAAAACCCTATCTATTAAGATTTTAATTGCAGACATTTTATTCTTCAGCTCTCAAACTTCCATTTGATTGTTTTTATAGATTCCATTGCTGGTCAAATTCTTTATCTTTTCATCTCTTTTCTTCAGCTTTCCCCCCTGGTTTCTTGGTATATTCATCACAGCTATTGCAAAGTTCTTCTCACCTGATAACTTTAATATCTGTATCAGTGGTAGGACTATTTCTGATGCATTTATGGTTACTGATCACATGGCCCTATCCCTTGTCATGCCTAGTAATTTTTTATTAAATGCAGGGCATTGTGAATAAGAGCTGTAGGGACTCCAAGAATATGTCATACTTTTCAAGAAAATATTCACTGTTCTCTGTACTAGATTTGGAGAGGAGAGAATACATCACTAATCTAATTAGGGAATGAAGTAAGATGAGGCTAGGTTCCACTGTTGGCAAGAGTCAGTTTACCTCTAGAACCCCCCTAGGTATTGCACTCCATGTTGTTACATGGAGAGTTCAGTATATTTGGCCGGGGCCCTCCAGGCTTTGGTAGATCTTGTCTCCTTTGTACAGATAATATAGGAAATTCTGCCACTTGCCCTGTCGAACTTCAGAATTCAACAAATATCTCAAGGAGAGAAAGTGACTTTATGTTCAAATTCTCTTAATTTCCAATGTTGTCACTCCAGCCCGTGCACCTGGAAGCTTGGCTAATCTCTCTATCCAGAGAAGCAGCCTTCTCCCAGGGCCAAACCTGGATTATTAGTCATTTGCCAATTGGGACATGACCCCAAGAAAAAAGTGGCAGGAACTGTCCGCTCACCTCAGAGGTGCCGTCCCCTTGTGTTTTTGGTCTTATTGGCCTCTGCTGCAGCCTGATGTCTTTTAATGACTGTTTTTGGTATGTCTTTTAAAGATTTTTTTTTTCAAGTAATCTCTACACCCTACATGGGGCTCGAACCTACAACCCCAAGATCAAGAGTCGCACACCCTACTGACTGAGCCAGACAGGCGTCCCTACTTTTGGTACTTTATTTGGCCTTTTCAAAGGTTTCCCACCTGGAATGTCAGTCATCCACAGCTGCTCAATCCTGTGTGGAAGTTGAACAGTTTTCTCAAATTTTGCTTTGCAGTTGTACAATGTTGGGTGCATAGAAACTTACTTAGAAACTTATATCTTCTAGTGAATTGAAATAATCATTAAAAATTCTTATTTCTAGTAATGCATCTTGACTTAAAGTCTACTTTGGCTGATCTGTTTTCCTTGATTTTGCTTTTAATCTATTATATTTTGGTTTTGTTTTTATTTTAATCCAGATTAAGTTAATTTGGAACATATAGTCCTTTTATATTTTATGTTTTTTTTTTCTGATACATTTGACTTAAAATGATCATCATTCTTTTTCCCACCAATTTTATGTTCCTTTTTAAACTTTACTCTTTACTTCTTTTTCATTGTTTTTTAAAAATATTTCCTTTACATCATTATTTTCCTTCAGTAGTTACCCTAGAGATTAAAATATATATTCTTGACTTATTTTAGTCTAATATAAATGAATAGTCTTGCAAATTCCCATTAATGAAAACATCTTAGAACACGTATTCACATATTCATTTGTGCCTTTTTATCTTTTGTGCTGTTCATTGTTGTGCATTTTAATTTACATATTTTTATACCCTAATGGTATTGTCTTTTGTGAATTCAATAATTATTGGATTTATTTTATTTTTTCCTCTCTATCTCTCTTTCTTCATTCCATATTTCTATGCTTCATCTGTGATTATTTTTCTTCTGTCCAAAGAATTCCCATTTAATAAGTTTTCATTGGGTGTCTGTCGCTGGTGAATTCTCATAATTTGCCTGAAAATATTTTTATCGTACCTTAATTCTTGAAGGAATTGTTGCTGAAGATAGATTTCTAGTTAACAGTGATTTTAGTTTATTTAATTATTTTTTTTTTACCTATTTGAGATTCGTTTCTAGCTTTCATCGTTCCCGTTCAGAAGCTGCCAGTCTTATTATTTCTTCTTTGAAAGCAACGTGCCTTTTGCACTTGGCTGTTTTTAAGAGATCTCTGTTTCTCCCTCCCCACCTTTCTGGTTTTGGTAATTTTACTATGACAAGTGTAGGAGCGATTTTCTTTATATTTGTCCTGTTATCTCTTCGGTAACTAGGACATCTTTGACGACTGTGTTCTCCCAGATTCAGAAGTCTTTAGCATGTTGTTACCGGGGAAAGGATGTGACCTATTTGTACTAAGAGAGGTTATTTAATTCCATAGTTGAAGAAATAAACAGAATCTTCAGTGTCAAGATCCTGAATGCCTTGACAATTCCTCTGAAAACCATGAACCCATCCATACGATGGAACGGATGGTTCTTTTGATCTGAGAGTGGCAAGGGGAGAACGTGTGATGCTCTAATCCTCATGCCATTCAATCCTCAAACAGTAGCTATTTGATATGAGGAATGAAAACAACCTGGAGGTTGCTGTAACGCAGGATAATCTTCTGGACAACAGTCTGCTCTACATTTGCTCATTCCTCAGCTGCAACAGTCTGGGGTAAAAAGCATTTTGGAAATTTAAATAGCCACTGAAGGAGACTTTCAATTTTATCCGTTTTATATTTTGGCGTACTATGATTTAGTAGAGCCCAAATAATATTTCAATACCTGAACTACAGTTGAGACCCACACGGAGGGGGTGCACAATCCATCCAGTCAAAAATAATTAAAAGTGGGGCTCCTGGGTGGCTCGGTCAGTTAAGCGTTGGACTTCGGCCCAGGTCATGATCTCACAGTTTGTGAGTTCGAGCCCCGGGTCGGGCTCTGTGCTGACAGCTCGAAGCTTGGAGCCTGCTTTGCATTCTGTGGCTCCCTCTCTCTCTGTCCTTCCCCTGCTTACACTCTGTCTCTCTGTCTCTCTCTCTGTCTTTCAAAACTAAACAAACATTTTAAAAAATTATTTAAAAAATAATAATTTAAAGTAATTCAAATCTTTTTTGGAGCCTTCTTTTAAGAATGTCAAGGCAATGACAGTTTCTTCTTAACACATCACAGAACATCTTTCTAATTCTCTGGGCTTTTCTACTCTTGGTACCCACCATAAGCAATAGTGGCCACTACATTCTTAGGTCTTCTCTGTCTCACTCAATCCTAGTTTCCAAACAGTACTCTCACAAAACCACATGTGTGTGTTTCTGCTTCCTTCCAGAACTTTCTTCCCCACCACCTTTGTTCTGCTCCAACCTATATAATCCCTGTACTACTCTTCCGTTCTAACAAAGACCAAATTTCCCCGAGAGGACAATTCAGAACTGTATCTGCTAAGAGAACTCTCTCTAATAGGCAAGAGAAGTATATGATTAGGAACATTCTGCTTTAAGTAAGTTTGGTCTCCATCCCATTAGTAAAAGGCGATTAAGCCCTACACATTGATATGGTTGAGCTATAATGCACATATGCCCTAAAGACCGAGGATGACCTAGCTTAAGAGACTGAGAATTGTTTCTAGTTTGTGTATTAGGATATTTATTCTCCCCGACTCTACAAAATTAGCTGGCCGACCTGGAGTTTGGGTCCATTGGAACAGTGAAACTCAGGCCAAGTGCTGTGTTACCCCAGCCCCTGCTGGTTGAGATATTTCAGGTCCTACTGAGCAGATGCTAGCAACTGGCACTGTTGAGGGAGTGACTACAGCTGGTCCACTTTGGAAGCAGATGTATGTAGGTATGCACCCTCCGTCCCTATTGCTGTATGACTTAACATAAATTCCTTACCCTGCTCTTTTGTTTCCTCGCCCACACTCATGTGGATAACATGATCTCATTCACATTGCGGCATGATGGGCACATGGAAAATACTCAAGAAATGCTACTATTTATAATTTCCTTTCTCATTCTTTTTGGTTTTTCTTTTAATGTTTATTTGTTTTTGAGAGAGAGCACAAGTGGGAGAGGGGCAGAGAGAGGGAGACACAGAATCCGAAGCAGGCTCCAGGCTCTGAGCTGTCAGCACAGACCCCGATGTGGGGCTCGATCCCATGAACCGTGAGATCATGACCCGAGCCGAAATCGGACGTTTAACCGACTGAGCCACCCAGGCGCCCGTCCTTTCTCATTCTTGACCTCAAAGTGCATATGGCTCAGTTGACATGGTGCTTTCTATATCAAATAATCCTTACACGTTTTTATACAACTCCAGGTGATCAGAACACCTGTGGGCATTTTTAAGGAGGGTCTTGGAACTGAATAAAACAAATGGATACATGTCCTCATTACTCTGACGCTCACCTTGTGTAGATATGATGGACGAGGTTCTTTGTAGGAGTTGACAAGTGGATTATTTTTGTTGATTTTGCATCTCTACCCCCACGGCCCCTGCTTTACTAAACTTCAGAGAATCGTGTTCATAGTGGATCTAAGTTCCCCAGGGACTACTAGCCCCGCAAAGTACGATGTAGACAGCGCCCCCTGGAGCTGTGCAAATGGCAGAACTGCTGCCATCAGTCACACTTAGTGTGTCTTCAACCAGGGCAGAACTGGGGACCCTGGGTGGCTCGGTCAGTGAAGTGTCTGACTTCGGCTCGGGTCATGATCTCACAGTTTGTGAGGTCAGGCCCCGTGTCAGACTCTGTGCTGACAGCTTGGAGCCTGGGGCCTGCTTCACACTCTGTCTCTCTCTCTCTCTCTCTCTCTCTCAAAAAAAAAAAATAAATAAACATTAAAAAATTTTTAAATAAAAAATTTAAGTTAAACTAAATGCGATTAAAAGGCGGAACAGTAAAGAGAGCAAAAAGATCTTGCTAGACGGATCTGGATTCAAATCCTAAGTAAGATCCCAAACCAGTGATGAGGTCTTAGACGGACAAGTATCTGACCCTCCGTTTCCTTGGTTGTTAAATAAGTATGCTTACTAACTGGGGGGTTGTCACGAAGATTCATAATATATAAACATGCATACACTAGCGACGACAGCGGAGCAACTAACCTTTATGCGGTGCTTGCTGTGTGCCCGGCGCTCTTCTGTGTATTTGACCTGTTAACTTGTTTAATCCTCTAATAACCCTATGAGGTCCACATTCTCTTATTACCCCCGTTTTGTAGATGCGAAGCAGCCACAGAGAAGGTAAGCAGGTTGCTTGAGCGGCGTGCTCACGCGATTATCGAAACCGAACCTTCCGACTTTAGAACCTGTGCTGTGAATCACTGGGCTACACTTCATACACATAAGAGTTGCACACATTAATACATCATTAGGCACATAATTATTACATAGAGGAGATTTCTGAACTCTACTGATGCTTCTTTGGGAAGCATTTTGGCCTGCCGGCCATGAACTCACAACACGGTGGAAATCTTAAAGCGCCCTGGAGAGCTTGGATACAAGAAAGAGATGTTTACCACCGTACCTGGGAGCAATATCCAAGACATTTATAAGTAGTCCGGCCATACAAAAGCTTCCTGTGGAACCAGTAAGTATCAGGAAAACAATGGTGCTGTAGAAGCTGAAACTCAGGTGAACCAGGCACAGACCGAAGAAGGGAGGCAGGAAGAGTCCTGGGGAGCCATCCAGACAACACAGTTAGGGGCGTCCCGAAGATGGGGTGAAGTGACTCAAAGTGCTTGAATGTCCTGGCTCTTCCTTACCTAGTGTGCTGAAGAGCTTCCGGATGGTATTGAGGCGGAGAATATTCCTGGACAGGAAGAAGTCTGCAGCGTGACCTGCCAGGATACCAAAGCTCCACGCAAACAAATAGGGGAGGGCTGACAGCAGCCCATTCTGAGAAAGAAATGTCATCGGAAGGATGAGTCCGGTAGCCAGAGCCATCCCTACACTGAAGTTCAGTACTGAACATCTGTATTGCCATAGGAGACACCATCAACATACAACCACAGAATTCTGACTCGGGGCCACACCACCCAAAAGAAAGCGGAAAATAGCCTTGAGGTCAGACATAGTTGTCACGGGGTGTCTTGGTCAGATGAGTGTCCGACCCTTAATTTTGGCTCAGGTCACGATCCCAGGGTTGTGCAGTCGAGCCCCACATCAGTTCTGCACTGAGTGAGGATTGCTTGGGATTCTCACTCTCCCTCTGCCCTTCTCCCCTCTCCCCTCTCCCTGCTCGTGCACTCACACTCTCTCTCACTCCAGTAAATAAGTAAATAAAAAACGGTTGTCACAGTATGTCTAGTTTTCTCTTGGTAGTGTCACGGGAACTGAAAGTTCTGGATAATAGAGAAGAAGACTACACTTGGGAATGGGGACAGCTGGCTCGGGGGAGAAAGAGTGATGATAACAATTACAAACATTTATCTGGTGCTTACTCTAGATCGTTGCTATTAATTCTTTCAACCCCTCCATGGTCTCGTGGAGGGCAAAATTGAATCAGAAAGAGCTTAAATGACCTCACTGTCATGTTGGCCCCTAGGCTGGGTTCCTGGAGATTCACTGCAGAATGCCACTTTGGGCATTCCATTTCTATGGGAGTCTTTTCTGGTTACCATGGCATCAGACATAAGGTTCCAGGCATCAGTGATTCTCCAAGTCAGACAAGCAGTGAGAGAGCCCGTCATTTTTTTTTTTTAAATTTTTTTTTTTTCCCAACGTTTATTTATTTTTGGGACAGAGAGAGACAGAGCATGAACGGGGGAGGGGCAGAGAGAGAGGGAGACACAGAATCGGAAACAGGCTCCAGGCTCCGAGCCATCAGCCCAGAGCCTGACGCGGGGCTCGAACTCACGGACCGCGAGATCGTGACCTGGCTGAAGTCGGACGCTTAACCGACTGCGCCACCCAGGCGCCCCAAGAGAGCCCGTCATTTCAAAGCAAGAGCTGAGTCATGGGTTCTCAGCCCAGGACTCATTGCCTTGTTCCAAGAAATAGGATGGGTGTGACTGGGCACGGTGGAGGGGAGGATGAGTCCCTGTAGGGAACGATGGTGTTGAGCCTTGACTACTACAGCAGGGCAATAATACATACAGTGAATGGTGGGGAAAGGCACTACGGGAACAGGACTGTGTTTTGCGGAGGCCAGACACGGTGCCTACACCTTTTGTTCCGGGAAATGGTGACAGAAAAAGTGGAAACAGTGAGTCTCCAGGTGCAGAGCATCAGCTAGACAGTGTAGAGAGGCCAAGAGCTAGGACTAGAGTCATGAGAAGTTTCATAAAGTTAAAAGGAGAGGAAAGGTGTCCTTACCTCTTTTATATTCACATGAAGGTTGGAGTCGACAAATGTTGGGGTGTAGAAAAGCACGATGTTGTTTGTCCAGTGGAAAGCAAAAGAACCGAAAACAATGGCCCAGAGTGGGAGAGACTTAATCATAGCCTTGATCGGCAGAGACCGTGTTCTTGAGCTGCTCTGGGAAAAAACAGCAACAACAATGAAACGTTGACTGTCAGCCCATTAGGAGAAGCTGGAACGCGGTTTCTTTGGGCACAGAATCTGGGAGCTGCCACCATGGAGCGTCCGTGTCCTACCTGCTGCTGGTTGAGGGATGACAAGATGTAGTTCTTCTCACTGACGCTTATACACGGGTGGGTCTTGGGGTCATCATAGAACAGAAGGAACCAGAGAAGACTCATGCCACAGCCACAGGCGCCTCTCAAAGCAGAACAGGTTAGAATTGAAATTGCTTCTGTCCGTAGTAAGTGCCCTTCCCACCTTGACGTGTCTCGTCATCGGTCTGAGAACCTGAACCTCCTCTTTCTTCTTTGCAACTTTACAGCAAGGCTTGCATTTTGGGCAGTCCTCTCTGTATCCGAGGCTGCCTCTGCCTCCAGAATGAATTTTGCGGAAAGGGCGGCAAGCCCTCTGGCCCTTGAGCCTCAGTATCCCTCCACTCATGAGAGTGGACCTCCCTGCTCCCAGAGAGACCCTCATCTCTAGATCCCCGATGTGCCCCACCGTGAGAAGACGGCACAGCCGAGACCTCAAAGGGCTTGACCATCACCTAGCTTTGGGAGCTTCGGTCTTGGCCATGCTCCTAAGATACAGCCCTGGCCTGAGGGATTATACAAGTCCTCCATGAGTTTGCCAAAGGATTTGTCGTTTTTGAGTGTTTTGTACTAATGACCCTTTAGCAATCCTGTTAGGATAGATGTCAGTGCATCTTCCAGAAATGCATTCATTCGTTCGAAAAGTAGTGATGAAATGCTCATTCTGTACCATTCACTATTCTAGGCGCTAGGGGTACGGCAGTGGATAGACCAGACAGATATTTCTGTCTTCGTGGAGTTTATTTTCTAGTGGATGAGAAGGAGACCATGAAAAGTAAGTAGGTAAAAGGTGTTAATGTCAGTGGTAAGAGCTGTAGAGAGAAGTTGCGGGGGAGGAGGTGAGGAGTGTCAGGCTCCGTGGAGGCTGGGATGTGGATGTGGGGCCAAGCAGAGGGAGCAGAGAGTGCCAGAGCCCTAGGTTATGAGGCCAGTGTGACTGGAGAGGAAGCAAGGGCTGGGGCGAGGCGGGGGGGGGGGGGGGTGGTGGGAGGGTCCTGGTGTCTCTGTTGGTTAAGCGTCCAACTTCGGCTCAGGTCATGATCTCGTGGTTCGGGAGTTCGAGCCCCACGTCAGGCTCTGTGCCGATGGCTCGGAGCCTGAAGCCTGCTTCCGATTCTGTGTCTCCCCCTCTCTCTGCCCCTGCCTTGCTCGCGCTCTGCCTTTCTCTCTCTCAAAAAATAAGCATTAACAAAAAAAAATTTTTTTAAAGCATAGTGACAACATACAACTCCCACCTCACTCCGTGGCCTGAGGACCTGATCCCAAGGTGACGCGTAAGTGGAGAGAAGCCCCCTAAGACATGGGCAATACGTACATTTCTGTGTGACAGTTTAGCCCTCAGAAAAGTCCTGTGGTGCTGTCAGGGAATATTGATGTGCAGAAAGGTCAGCTTGGTCGCTCCGAGATGCGTGGTTAGTAAGCGGTCACTGACACTTAGCATGAATCACGTTTTTAGGGAGGGAATACGGTCCTAGGGGAGGAGCCTGAGGCAGAGCTTTGAAGAAAGCCAGGAGTTCGTGGCAAGGAGAAGAGGAAAAGTCTGCAGAAGACTGAGCAGGAATGGCCAGAAGAATGAAGTCTGGTCAGGGGGTCAGGCAGACCCCCCCCCCCCCCGCTGCCCCTGTATTGTTGGATGTGATTGAGAGTTCAGGTTCAGGACCAAAGAACCTCCACTTGATTTGTGGGCATGGAGGCTTGGCCAGCTCTAACATTTGTGAGGCCCGGGGCAAGACACAGGAACATTTAAAAGTCGCAAATAAAGCTACTGATTTGTACTACACTGGAATATAATATGTCTTCTCGTCCTGTGTTGACCCCGCTAACTTCAGAATGGCCTGGAGAGAGACTTCTGCTTTCTGATCCGGCACGTAAGGAACTTGGAAGAGTCATCCTTCCCATCCTCATGACCAGAAAAGTGTTTAGCAGTCTAAAAATCAACAAGTCGCCTTCGATCCCTCAGAGAGTTGAGGTCATAGGGCAAGCTGTTGCTCCCCCAAATTGGAAAGACGGACAGGTGGACGCAGAGAATGGCGGCTCCCCGGAAGAGAGGACTGGAAGCGTAAAACTGCACGGAACCAGTACCAGGGCAGGAGGAAATTAATGAAGGCTGACCTCTTACCCTCCATGAGATTCATGATTTTTAAAGCCATTAACTTTATATAAATTATTACGTTATAGTCAGGTTTTTTTTTTTTTAATTTTTTCAGTTCTGAATAATGACTGGGATTTTACAGAAAGAGACTCACCAAAAATATAGAAGACCACGGGCCAGCCCAGGGATTGGCAGATGAATCCAGTCACAAGCAGAACAATGAAGGGCCCCAGCAGAACCCCTAATCAGAAAGCACAAAGAGCGCCCCTGAGGAGCGCTCTGAACCTAGAGATAATGTAGCGTCAGGGTAGCAATGAACGATTTCCAGTGAAATACATTTGTAGAGCAAAACACTGGGCAGAAGAAACGAATAAAATATTTGCTTTCCCCCCTCTCTCTCTCCCTTTTTCTGTTGTTTGAGATAAAGAAGCCTCTCCTTCTTTCTAGACAGTTTCCGCATCTTTAAAGGGGGGCTGCCGGAACAGATGGTTTCCAAAGCCCCGGACAGTTCAAAACACACATCTTTTACAGCTCTAGGAAGAACACGGCACAGTGAGGTAGCAGTGACACTCACACCTTCGAGGCCCTAGGTCGTTACCTGATAGACTCAGGGAGGTGAGTCGGCCTCGTTCCAAGGGTGGAGCCCACTTGACCCATATTGCGTGCTGAGCTATTAATGCTGACCCCTGAAATCAGAAGGATTAGGACATCTGATCTCTGATGCTTCCTGTGAATTCCAGCCCTGTTCACTTGTTGCGTTATCTTAGTACCTGGGAAACTCCCTGGGCCACCCGACATGCGATGATCCAAGCTTCTCCACCTTCAGCGGCCATCGGCAGGATCAGGCTAAACAGGGAACTGAGGAATAGTGCAGAGCCGATCATTTTCTTGATGGAGTATTTTTCAGACAAGTATCCAACAGGAATTTGGATGATGAGTACGCCATAGAAGATGGAACTGAAGATGATGCCCTGGGTTTTAGGACTCCAGTTGTACACGGGGTTCTGGTGGGAAAAAAGAGAGAGAGAGAGAGTCGCATGGAGCCACTCTGCATCCTGGTGAGTTACTGTGATAGGGATGCGGGGACACTGGTCTGCAGGCTTCCTTGGGGTCAAGGAGCTCCCCTCTGCTTCATTTTCCATCATGGGACCTTTGCTGCTCCTTTATAACATCATTTCCTGTGGGTACTGACATTTCACACTGGTATCTTCAAGGCTAATGGCGAGTCCTTGCACCGTCTCTACCCCCAATACGGTGTAGACGTTTAATACTTATTCCTGGAACATTGCTACTCTGCGTGTCAGGTCTTCTGTGGAAGACTACACTTGCCGCCATCATTAATTGTCTGTTGCCTTCTGTCTTCCTCCGACTCCTCTGTTAAGTTACCCTCATTCCCCAGACAGACATTTCCCCACATACGTACTACTCCCAGAGACAGAAACCATGATCGATCAAATCGTGAAGAGGAGGTGTCGGGCTGAACCGTGAAATCATTGGATGAGACAGTGAAGGAAGAGGGCCAATTCTCTTTTGGTGCTTGGTTCTCTCCTTTTCTAAAATGTTCTGTCTCGTGTTTCCAAAATCCTCCCCTGAGATCTGTCAACTCACTTGTATTCCACGTTCTACTGCCTGAGCACAGCCTCCTGTCACCGGGCCACCTCTGCTCTGAATTCCTGTGTCTACTGTTGCCCATAAATATAATTGCCTCCCTAGTTTTTAGCTGCATTTTGTAATTTCAGGTTACAACTCAGATCTGCTCTGTGGAAACAATTTTCTGGTGAGTTTTCATCTTTTGGATGTGTTTGGAAAATACATGCTGTATTTTCTCTCTCTTTCTCTCTCTCTCTGTCTCTCTGTCTCTCTCTCTCTCTCTCTTCCATCTAGTTCCTTTGTATGGCCGTGAAGAGAATTCCTTTTGTGTGACTCCGATGTGAAGGAGATCAGTTTCCCTGGATCTTCTAAAGAGGCTCTTTTTTTTACGTGTGTGGCCCCTGCGAATACCCATTTTTCTAGAATATGGGGTTCTCAATATTTAAACCAAAGCAATGGAATACTACAAATGTTTCAGGATATCGTTCAAGGAAAAATTGGATAAAAAGATTTTAACAGATTTCTGAGGGACAAACGATGCAATAAACTGCATACTTAATCTTTGACATAAAATGTACAACTTGACACGTGTAATTACATGCACGCTCACAAAACCGTCACTACAGTCAAGGAAATGTACATGTTCCTCACCTCCAAAAGTTTCCTTACTTCTTTTTGTAATTCCTCTTTCCTGCTGTTCTCCCACCACTGATCTTCTCTGCCTGTCACTACGTCATCGTTTTTATTTTCTGGAGGTTTTCTATAAATTCGCCGTACTTATTTTGAGTTTCATCCATTTATTTTTAGCATTCATTTATGATTAGTGCTAAGCAGTACCCTGTTTTAGGACTGTACTGTAGCGTGTGCATTCATTCATCTGTTGACCCTTTTTATTGTTTCCAGTCTGGGGCTATTACAAATAAAGCGACTGTGAGCATTTACGTACAAGTCTCTGTACGGACATGTGTGTTCATTTCTCTTCAGTAAATACCTGGCATGGAATGGGGGGATCATACGGTAGGTCACTGAAGTGATTGTACCATTTTACATCCTCCCCAGCGATGTTAGAAGCTTCGGTGTGTAGTCGTAAACCTTTATGGATTTAATTTGCTTGTCCCTAATGACTGATGATGTGGGACATCTTTTTGTGAGTATTTGCCATCCTTCCCTGTATCTTCCTTGGCGAAAAGACCGTTCACATTTTTCCCATTTTCTTATTGGGCTTTTGTTTCATTTTTATCGAGTTTTGATAGAATTCCTTTATTAGACAGGATTTGCAAACATTTATCCCTGTCTCAGGTCTCTTTATTCTCTCAACAGTTCTTTGGAATGGAATGGAATAGAATGGAGTCCAATTTTATGTATTGTCTTTTGTGGATCAGGAAAAAAATCAGGAGTTTTATATCTGTGTGAGTCGGTTTCTGAACTCTCTATTTTATTTCATTGACTCTTTTTTGTGAGCTATACCACACTGTTTTGATTAGTATAACTTTATGACAAGTCTTAAAACCAAGTAAGTGGTATTAGCCCTACAAATACTGACTTTTCAACAAACATCCAAAGACAATTCACAAATGGTGGTAGAACAATTGTATATCTGTATGTAAAAAAAGAATCTTCAACCCAACATACATAAAAATTAAGTCTAAATGAATCATATGTTTAAATGTAAAGCCTGCAATTATACAACTTCTAGAAGAAAACATAGCAAAAAGAGTGTTTTTTTGCCTCGGGCTATGCAAAGATTTCTTAGGTATAAAAACAAAAGCATTACCCCCAAAAGAAATTTTAATAGAAGTTCTTTCTGCAGAAGGAAATGAAATCGCTCAGGAACATGCATCTGTATTAAAAAAGGAAGTGCATCAGAAAAGAATAAATGAAGGGATAAAATGTTTTATTTTGGAGGTGCCTGCGTGGCTCAGTCAGTTGAGGGTCTCGACTCCTCATTTTGGCTCAGGTCATGATCCCAGGGTTGTGGGATTGAGTCCCGCCCCGCATCGGGCTCTGTGCTGAGTGTGGAGCCTGCTTAGAATTCTCTCTCTCTCCCTCTGCCTCTCTCTCTCTCTCTCTAAAAGTAAATAAATTAAAAGCATATTTCACTTTGAATTATTCTAAAAGGTAACTATTTGTTTAAAGCAGTAATGTAATCATGTATTTATAACGTGGATACTGAAATGAATAACAGCACTTTACGGGAGAGCAAAATTAGGAATAATGTGTTATAAAGTACCTGCAGTGCACATGAAGCAGTTTGGTATTATTTGACGGTGGATTTAAATTTTTTTTTAACATTTATTTATTATTGAGAGACAGAGAGAGACAGAGCATGAGCGGGGGGCAGGGGGCAGAGAGAGGGGGGAGACACAGAATCCAAAGCAGGCTCCAGGCTCTGAGCTGTCAGCACAGAGCCCGACGCGGGGCTCGAACTCCCAGACTGTGAGATCATGACCTGAGCTAAAGTCAGACGCTTAACTGATGGAGCCACCCAGACACCCCGATCTGATGGTGGATTTAGATGATTAAAAAATGTATATTGTAAATGCTGGGGCAACTACTAAATCAGGTGTCTTTTGGGGGTTGCCTGGGTGGCTCAGTTGGTTAAGCATCTGACTCTTCATTTTGATTCAGGTCATGACCTCACACACAGTTCAAGAGTTCGAGCCCCACGTCAGGCTCTCACTGACATTCTAGAGCCTGCTTGGGATTCTCTCTCTCCCTCCCTCTCTGGCCCTCCCCTGCTCGCTCTCGCTCAAAATAAATAAATAAAAAATGAAATAAAACAGGTGTTTTTTAAAGTCTAAATGATACATGAAAAGAAGAAATAAAATTGAATCACTTAAATAATTAAACCCAGAGAAGGCAAAAAAGAGAATTCAAAAAAAGGAAACAGAGAACAGATGTAACAAATAGAAAACAGTTACCAGTTTTATATTCGTCTCTTTCTCCTTTCAGTTCTAACAGTTTTCACCTTCTGTATTTTGCTGCTCTGTTGTTAGGGACATGCATGTTCAGGAGTATTGTATCTTTTTGGAGACTTGACTCCTTTATCATTAGGTAATACCCCTTTATCTCTGATAATCTTCCTTGCTATAAATTCTGCTTTGTCTGAAATGAATATGGCTACTTAAGTTTTCTTCTGATTAGTGTTTTTGTGGCTGCATCACATCTTTCTTTATCCTTTTACTTTTTATCTATCTGAGTCTTTGTATTTAAGAAGAGTTTCTTGTAGATTCCATGTCTAATGACCTTTATTTCTTATCCGTATCTGATCATTTCTGTCTTTTAGCTGGTATATATGGACCATTCATATTTAAAATGATTATTGATATGGTTGGATTAAAACCTACTTTTTTTTTTTTAAACATTTCTTGTATGGCCGGCCTGTTGGCAATAAATTACCTCAGTTTTTATTTGCCTGAAATAGTCTTCATTCTTTCACTTTGGGGGTAATTTCATTGGATATAGAATTCCATTTTGGCAGATTCTTTTTCTTTCAACACTGCAAAGATTTTTTCCCCTCCTCTTCTTGTTTCAATGGTTTCTGATAAGAAGTCTTCTAAATTCGTCTCCTTGTTCTTCTGTCAGTAAGATACTTTTCTCCCTGGCTTCATTCAGCATGTTCTCTGTGTTCTGGTTTTCTGCAATTTAAATATGTCCAGTCAGTTTTTCTTGTTGTTAATTATTGGCCTTTTTGGTATTTATCCTGTTTGGTGTTCTCTGAGCTTCTTGGACTTGTGGTGCCTTTGTGCCTTTGTGCCTTTGGTGCCTGCCAGTAATTTTGGAAAGTTCTCCGCCATGAGTTTGTCAAGTATTACTTCTTGGGATTCTTTCTCTCTAACCCCTCTCCCACCCAGGTGTGCTCTCTCCCTCTCTCTCAAAATTAATAAATAATATCATATATTGAAAAAAATTAATAAATAATAAAAACATTTAAAAAAACACAAATGTTACTTTTGCCACTCTCTTTTCTTTTCTTTCTTTCTTTCTTTCTTTTTTTTTTTTTTTGCTTGGCCAAACATCTCAATTCTAGACACCCTAATGCTTGGTTTTTATCCTTCTTCACAGGGAAGGATTCACACAACAAAGCCCTTCACAAATATCAAAGAATGCTGTAATCATGGGACATGTTTAGTTAGGTTATTATTAGCAACGTGGTTGAAGCCTTAGACTTCTTCTTCTGATTATTAGTGTCCCATCAATTATGATAACATGCAATCTCTACGCCACCTAATTAGAAAGACAGGATTTGCAATTTAGGACTACAGCCAGTATTTTTCATATACCTTCATGACATCCAGGCTCTCCTCTGTGGAGGTGTTGGGCGCACCGTGTGGGTCCGAGCTGTTCACCATGACCACCATTGTGAGGCTCAGACACATGAGCTGTGACATTATGATACTGTTACAGACGTGCAAGAGGAGAGACAATCCGTAGCGGAAGGAGCAAACACTTGGAACTAAGAAGTAAAACAAAAAGTGTCCGTTGTTAACACAGCCGAGGTAAAAACATACAGTAACTTTAGGAAGGGCACTCGGAAACTTGGAGCCATTCTAATATTATTTATTATATATTTTATATTTTATATACAATATATACTTCTATATTATATACATACTGTATATAGGTAATCTCGCAATTCGTGGGTTCGAGCCTCACCTTGGGCTCTGTGCTGACAGCTCAGAGCCTGGAGCCTGCTCGCGATGCTGTGTCCCCCTCTCTCTCTGCCCCTCCCCTCCTCATGCTCTGCCTCTCGGCCTCTCAAAAATGAATAAACATTTAAAAAATTTTGTTTAAGAAGAAAGGAATTAGACTTTTAAAGGTCGATACTGTATCCAGCCAGCTAGCCAAAAGTCACTGTCGTTTCTAAAAATACATCTGCTGTTTGGGGTAGGTTTTCTACGTGGGGAATACGCAAATAGTGATGATTTTGTTGGTTCTTTGGCGATCCTCGTGTCTTTAATTTCCTGTTCTCCTTGGATCAGAACCGCCGGTGAATTGTTGGCCGCACTTAGCATCCCTGGTTTTCATACCATGGTTCCTGATTTACACGGAGTAGCTCTGATGTTTGTACATTTCAGACAACGCTTGTCGAAGGCTTTGTTGTGGATGTGCTTTCCTAAGTGTGTTTTCTCTTGCTGTGTAAAAAAAGGTCTGCAAACCGAATGGCCTAAAACGACACCCATTTGTTAAGACAGTTCTGCAGTTAAGAAGTTTTAGCATAGTTAGCATAGTGCACTTAAGTTTTCTGCTCATGATCTCAAAGGCTAAAATCAAGGGATCAGCCAGGCTAAGTTCTCAGCTGAAGGTTCTAAGCAAGGATCTATTTCCATTCTCGCTCAGGTTATGGTAAGGATTCAGTTGTCTGTGGATATGGTACTGAGGGGGCCGTCTCCCTGCTGGCTGTCGGCTAGGAGATGCTTACAGTTCCAAGCGGCTGTTCCTGTGACTTGTCACATGGCTTCCTGCAGCTCTGAAACCAACCCGAAAGAATCTGGCTTAACGTTGAACCCTCTCACACTTGGACTCTCCCTAGTTGCTTGGTCTCTGACCTCTAGACCCAAGTCGAAGGGCTGGGTAATTTCCTGGATGATTTCCCTATTTTAAGATCAGCTCATTTGGGACCATGTTTTTTTTTTTTTTTTTTAATTTTTTTTTTCAACGTTTATTTATTTTTGGGACAGAGAGAGACAGAGCATGAACGGGGGAGGGGCAGAGAGAGAGGGAGACACAGAATTGGAAACAGGCTCCAGGCTCTGAGCCATCAGCCCAGAGCCCGACGCGGGGCTCGAACTCCCGGACCGCGAGATCGTGACCTGGCTGAAGTTGGACGCTTAACCGACTGCGCCACCCAGGCGCCCCATGGGACCATGTTTAAATCTGCTAATTCCCTCCAGGCGGCACCTAGCTTAGTGTTTGCTTAAATAACTTGCGGGAGGTGCACACACACGGGGGGCCAGAATCTTAGGGGTAGTCTTAGACGGCCAGCCACCACGGTCCACCCTCTGGTCCTTAAAAGTTCATGTTCATCCCCCACGCAAAACACATTCACCCCCTTCCACGGTTCCTTAAAAGTCTCAGCTTATCATACAATATCAGCCCACGTCCATTGCCTCCTCCAGATCTCAAAGTCACAGATCTCATCGAAATGATCTTAAACCCATGTGAAGGAGGTTCCTAGAAATAACCCCCGCTAGGGCACGGTATTTCTGTATCTGCGGACTTGCGAAGGGGGAGACAAGGTACGTGTCCCCAGGACTCCGGCCACACATGCTGCGGCACACTGGACACTTGCTACGGCTCTCCCAGTTCCAGAAGGGGGAGAGAGGGTAAAAGGGCATTGCTGATTCTGAAGTGTTTGGAAGTTTGGCTAAACAAATGTTGGATTTGCTGCTAAGTGGAAAAAAAAAGGCGGTAATGCCTGGAAAATTCGTTTTCTGCACGGCTCTCCCTTTGTAAACAGATAAAAATAGTAGGCGAAATATATTTAAAATAAAGTATGTCCTTAAAAGCATGGATGATCTGCCAGGAAAAATGAAATATTCAGGCCGAAGGTTCCGTGAAGACGGACTCCTCAAGGCATAAACTGATCTTTGAGGGCAGATTTTTTTTCCCTGAAAGCATTTGATCTCAGTGTCTTTTGTTTGTTTTTGTTTCTGTTTTGCTTCCCAGGGCTTGGGGACAACAGGAGTCAAATACCAATCCCCAGGCAATGGGAGGGGTCTGGTAAGAGACCTTCTTTTCAGATACCCAGATGCCAAACATCTCCTGGCTTGGTGAAGGGTGAACACACCGACACACAGCCTTGCCAGGGGCACTGCTGAAACTTTCGCCCTGTGCAGACAGGCCCTGGAGCTCAGCAGAGGGAAGAAAACCATTCAGTCATCAGCCAGTCCTTCCAATGGCTTGTGGCCTAATACTGACTGTCCAGGGGCCATCAGAAAAATGTCTCCAGCCGCACATGGATGCACGCACCCTGAGAATGGCTTGCTCCAAAGCTTTCTAAGCCTCATCTTTAAAATCAAAAGGAAAGGGGCACCTGGGTGGCTCAGTCTCAGGTTAAGCGTCCGACTTCGGCTCAGGTCATGATCTCACGGTTCCTAAGTTCAAGCCCTGCATCAGGCTGAGTGCTGACAGCTCGGAGCCTGGAGCCTACAACGGAGTCTGTGTCTCCCTCTCCCTCTATCTCTCTCTTTCTCTCTGCTCCTCCCCTAATCGCATTCTGTCTGTCTGTCTGTCTGTCTCTCTCTCTCAAAAATAAACATTAAAAAACATTTTTAAATAAAATCAAAAGGAAAACAAATGGACCTGGAAAACTAATAGGAACACTCGGGGGGAAAAAAATCCCTGGAGGAGAGAAAAAAGCTTCCAGAGAGCCAGGGGGAGCAGGCCTCATGTGCAGAGGAGCGTTCGTGTCACAGTCGTTGGGGGGCCTATTTCAGTTTATTCTCTTACTCCAGGAAGAACGTGAGTTACTTCTAAGTAAGTCTTGAGTTAGAAAGTAAACCACAAGGGAAATTGTAAAGTGCTCAGGCCTGGCAACAGTAAAATACTGCAGGTGCAACTCCTGGGCAGTTAGAGCAAAAGGTGCACCCCGAGGATAGTAACCAGAAAAGAAGAGAAAATTCAAGGACTTGGGACATTAACAAAGGAACACACCGCAAGAGCCTGACAGGAAGGAAACGTTAAGCAGAAGGGCAGAATCAATGATAGATGCATGTGAGCTTACATGGTTTATGTGCTTTTATGGTTATGCGTTTTATACACTCATATGTAAATTTGAGTATCGATTAAATGGACAATAGAAAAATGACCAAAATCACAAAAAAGCGAAAATAATACAAGCAGAAATGTGAGATGTAACAGACCCCTCATCTTTACATAAATTATTCATTGCCCCGCCCCCTTCCGGGATTCTGTTCCCTATGACACGCACGCAATTCTAAGACCATAGTGCTACTTTCTTCTCGTCCTTTCCCTGCCCGACTCAGAATAAACAGTTTTCAGTAAATATCCACGTGTTGATGTCCAAGGATGGGGTGACTCAGGACCATTCATCCTGTCTTCGCTTCCATCCATGTCTTTCTCCTTGAGACAGGGCAAAAGTAGTTGACCCTTTCTGGTACTCTCCACCACGTGATTAAGTGGACGAGTGTGTAAGAATTAAAGAATACGAATTGTTTTTATTTAGGGTTTTTCTTTTGTTTTTTAAGTTTTTCATTTATTTTGAAAGAGAGAGAGAGAGAGAGGCAGAGAAAGGGAGAGAGAATCCCCAGGGGGCCCCCCTGCACCGTGAGTGCTCAGAGCCTGACACGGGGCTCAAACTCACGAACCCGTGAGATCATGAAGCCGAAATGAAGAGTCAGATGCTTAATCGACTGAGCCACCCAGGTGGCCCTAGGGTCTTCCTAATGGAAAACTATAGCAGGACGAAGGTTTTCACCTCTTTTCCCAGACATTCCTAAGGCCCTTTATGTGTTTTCATGGAAAAACGTGCTCACCCAGAATCTGTGATGTCATGTAAGAAGGAGAAAGTGTAACCAGTGAGACAGAGAATAATTTCTACCTTTCCCAGGAGAGAACTGGTTATCCATCTGCATGAATGGGATTCTGGTTTCTTCTTTTCTTGCTGCCGGGTCTGGTCTCCACTGCAAGAGCAAAACACTTTGGTGTCAGCATAACAGGGAAGAACTGACTAAACACCACCCAGTACTACCTTCCGATTGAAAACACGCATCACAGGGAAACGCTGCATACACCCGCACCCACTTAACTCAATCATGTGTTTCCTCTGACGCTGCACTTGGACGCTATGTGGGTTGATTAAAAATATATAACCCCCTGAAAACTATTTTTAAAAAGAATAAAAACCCTGCTAACCCATGATTCTATGTCCCGTGAAAATATCCCTCAAAAGTGAACCAACCGAGCAAAAACTGAGGGAATTCGCTGATGGTAGACCTGCCCTGCAAGGAATGTTAAAAGACGTTTTATGATTGCATTTGTAGAGCAAAAAAATAAAGAGGGTTTTCAGGCAGGGAGATTGCTAAAGGTCAGAAACTCGAACATACCAAAAAAGAACGTCAGAAAAGGAGTAAGTAAAGGTAAAATAAATTATTTTTTCTTCTAGCTTAATGGAGCTGGAGGAGAACTCTCTGTGGGTTAACTTCGCCTTCTCATGGGCAGGCGGATCATTCCGCACAGGACTTTCCCCTTGGACAGACCGGCCACTGCTGCTCTGTCTGCCCTTAACCGCCCGAGGACGCTGGTCCTGGGCTCGTGTACAACTTTGACGTTCGGCCCCATCCCCTTAGATGACCGGATGCTTGAAAGACAAATTCCTGAGGTTGGATTTGCCAAGTATTTTTGAGTAAACAGCTGGTCCACCAGCATTATCATTTGCCGAACTGTCTACTTGGCTGCTGTTTATTTCAAAATACACACACGCACAGACACACCCACATGCCACACGCATCCTGTACAAACACACACGTGCCCTGCGCCCACTTACGAACGCATCTCAACTCACACGTACAAACTCCAGCACAGACATCGCAAACATACTTCTGCATACTTTCCACCATACGCACCACAGACACCCCCACACCACTCACACAACACCACGCAATGCACAACACGTGGCTTCTCTTTCCTTGTCTGTCCACACAACTGCTCTCCTCCCCTTAATCCCTAGAAATAGGTTCTTTTTACTCCCTTAGGAAAAATCTGTGGAAATAGATCTTGCCCCCAAATTTCCCCAGCTTGCTAAACTGATAGGATCTTTAACGGAGAAGCTCCCCCCACCCCCCAGCCATCACTCTGGGGAACTGTTCATTGCATTTAGTGAGTAGCAATATAAGACTGAGACTGACCTGATTCAGGACAGAAGAGCAATTCCTTCTTCCCTTGGATGACTTTGAACTTTTGAAAAGTACTGAATTTCTGGATTTACCGATTTTAGCCCCGCTAATCCTTCACCAAATCCTCGTGACGACCTTGTTATGTCAAAGTTAAAAGCTTACTCTTTAACTTTCACCTTTCCTCGAGTCTTCAGGGGAGGAGTACGACTGTTAGAATCTTCCAGTGGACTAGAAACGTCCTGGAAATCCACCATCAAATTCATGACCGTAGTAGACAGCATCGCTAGTCTCCTGCCAGGAGGAAGAGAACCAGCCTGGCAGTCAGTGCTCCTAGGACAGATGTTTTCTATTGAGGATGGATCTGGGTTCACAGTACCATTCCTACAGGAATCCTGTGGCTTTTTATGCCCCATGAATGCCCCGTTAGCTTTTTGCCAGCCTGCCTGCCTTTTTCCCTTTTTTTCCCTTCTCTGTCTTGCTTCCCTTCCCTTCCCTCCCCTCCCCTCCCCTCTCCTCTCTTCCCCTCCCCTCCCCTTCCCTCCCTTTTGCAAAGGCCACATCTGTCTGACATTCAAGCTACCCAGAGAGAGATGCATTTCATTAAAGTATATCCTGCAAAGGGAGTGATTTCCCCATGGCTTCTGCAATGAGCAAATTCTCCTGGTTCTACCACCTCTCCGTAGGTATACCCGAGAGTGCTTTTACCTTGGAGTTCTGTGAAGGCAACCTACTGATCAGATAGGAACATCTGAGCCCTTAAATCGGGGATTTTGAACGATAGTTTCTTACATACATAAGATTTTTTTTTTTAAAGATGTGTGAGTATGCTTATAAAGTGCCTAATACATGTTTGGCACTTAGCAGACACTCTACAAATTGAATCAGTTATTTTCTCTCTAAAGAAATGCTGAAGACTTTTTTTATGATGAGTTATCTTTGAGAGAGAGAGAGACAGAGCTTGAGCAGGGAAGGGGCAGAGAGAGGGAGACACAAAATCCGAAGTAGACTTCAGGCTCTGAGCTGTCAGCACAGAACTTGACACAGGGCTTAAACCATGAACCGCGAGATCACGACCTGAGCCGAAGTTGGACGCTTGACCAACTGAGCCACCCCGGCGCCCCAGGAAGTGACGAAAACTTTAACTTGCTTGCCCAGGAGACTTTGATGTCTTATACATTCCGCTGGATTTTTTTCCTTGTGAGAATTCCAGATTCTGGTTTGTACGGTTTGAGGGCAAGGCTGGTGGTTTCTGGCATTTTCTGACCATTTAGTGGTTAAAAGCCCCAGATCACCAGTTGTTCAATGTCCATGTTTTAAGTAAACAATGTTCCCACTTAGTATCAACGTCTCTGGTTCCAGTTACTGATTACCCAAAGGGAACTATCCTTCCGTGTGTTGGCTCCAAAGCTTTCTGTTGCTCTGTGATATGCTTTCAAATCACTTCTGGGTTCTACATTTGGATTCTGTGCTTTTCTTATTAAGTTTTTAGATGTACCATTATATTGGAATTTTCAAACGTGCAAGAAAAGTAGAACAGTCTAATATAACCACGTGCCCATTAATCAGTAATTATCAACGTTTGGCCACTGGAGATACATATAGAGATATCTCCAGTGTTTGTTTTCTGTAGTATTTTAATATTTATTTGTTTTTGAGACAGAGACAGACCGGGCACGAACGGGGGAGGGGCAGAGAGAGAGGGAAACACAGAATCCGAAGCGGGCTCCAGGCTCTGAGCCGTCAGCACAGAGCCCGACGCGGGGCTCAGACCCACGGACCGCGAGATCATGACCTGAGCCGAAGTCGGATGCTCAACCGACTGAGCCACCCAGGCGCCCCTGTTTTCTGGAGTATTTTAAAGTAAACCTCAGATATTATGTTATTTCTCCCATAAAAAGTACAGCATGGATATATAACTCATTAGTGCTTTAAAAAAAAAAAAACATAACTAGCATGCTATCAGCACTTCTAAAAAACAGTAATCCCTTAATATCATCCAAAAGCTAGTCATTATGAAAATGTTCCCAGTTGCTTCAGAGTTGTCCTTTTACACTCAATTTATTTAAATGAGGTTCCAAACAAGATCTGCCTGTGGCACACAAGTGTTATGACTCTCACCTCTCCTTAATTTTGTGACCGTTCCTTCCTCCACTTTATATTTGCTGTTACTTAAAAAATAACAACAACAGTCGTCGTAACAAAACAAGGCCATCTGCAGAGTGACTTTCATAACTGATTTGGCTAATTCCTTCCTTTTAGTGTTGTTTAATAAATTTCTTTATCTCTTATAGCCCCCAAACTGCTCGTATATGGAGAGGCTTGCTTAGATCCAGGACAAGAAGAACTCATGGGGTGCTGGAGACTTCCATGGTGGCAGCCTGTCTCACTTTGAGTGACATAAGATTGCTCAGTGGGTTCAGATCTTCTCAGCTTGATTGGAAGTTCTCAGCCTATGGCCTTTGCCGTTTGTTGGTAAATGCTGAATCACTAAACGATCCGTTATTTTATTTCTATCATGCCTTCTTTAGGTAGGAGCTGGAATTTTCTACAAAATAAGAAATTTGCCTAATCTAATATTTGGCTACCCTGAAATACAGATTTCATAGGAAAGTCAGGATACTTTATAAAGTTGTAGGATAATAATTTAGTGCCTTAGCAAAGCTGACCAAGGAAAATTATGACCTCCTGGGTTTTCTTGGATGTGTTTCAATCTGCTGAGTCCCTATTTTTTGACGCTTAAATTGTCTCTTCTTTGGCCAGTAGGAAGCTATTCAAGCCGGTCTCTATTGTCCTTAAGACCTGACCTCGTTGTCTGGGATAGTGTCCTTGTTTTCTTTTTTTTTTTTTAATTTTTTTTTCAATGTTTATTTATTTTTGGAACAGAGAGAGACACAGCATGAACGGGGGAGGGGCAGAGAGAGAGGGAGACACAGAATCGGAAACAGGCTCCAGGCCCCGAGCCATCAGCCCAGAGCCCGACGCGGGGCTCGAACTCCCGGACCGCGAGATCGTGACCTGGCTGAAGTCGGACGCTTAACCGACTGCGCCACCCAGGCGCCCCAGTGTCCTTGTTTTCTAACACACACACACACACACACACACACACACACACACACACACGCACATTCCAAGCTCCTCTAGCGTATTTCCTGTTCTCAGACCTGGGCTCTCTCATGGAATGCAGATTCCTTTCAGTAGGAAAAAGCATCCAGAGACCACACTCTAAGCATTGAGTATTCATTGCTCCTAGGTCCCATGGCTTCTAGGCCTTTTCAGTGGAAGAACTTCAAAAGGTGTTGTTTTTTTCAGTTACAAACTCTGTGTGTTATTTCCAATTCAAATGAAATGTTTGAGGGATATTTTTAGAACCTCTGATTCGACGCTCTTGACTTTTTCTCTTACATTGAACATCTTGATTCCTAATAAAAATAATTACTTTTTTGTTTTATTGTAATGTACCTGTATACTTGTTCAGTGCCTACCCTGAAGGCTCAACAAAGGCATGGCACAGCCTCAGAACCTCTGGGGCTTCAATACAATAGTCCTGTCCCTTTAGTACTCATGGTGACAACATGAAGAGCTTGTCATTAGCATGGGACATCCTTATTAGAAGGACATATTTTGACAGAGACAGACATGTGCAGAGGGAAGAAGATACGAAGATGCAGGGAGAAGGCCATCTTCAAGCTGAGGAATTCCGGAGGCTACCAGGAGAGAGAGTCACGGGACCGATTCTCCCTCAACGCGCGGACAGAATGGACTTCGCTGACATATTCAGACTTCTCTATCTGTGAGACAAGAAATTACGGCTTTTCAGCCACCCAGTTGGTGGCACTTCATAATGGCGGCCCCAGGAAACGAATCCACATGCCCACTTGATTATCTCATTATCACCACTAACGTGTCCCGAAGTCAATTCGTTATCTTCCCTCTAAAAAGGATTCCTCCTCTTGCAGTCTCCGGCCAGGTGTTCGGACCCTGTGTGTACAGTCTCTCAGGTTAGAGACCCCGACTCCTTAGTGTCTCTCTTCTCCACCCCAGCTCTTCCCTCCCTGGTTCAGTCCTCATCACTGCTATGTGGACCACACTGCAGACAGTCATTTAATAGACTTCTTGGTTCTGGAATTGGGCCAGAGTGTTCTATCCAGAGAGAAAATCTGTGCCTGTCACTCTTGCTTTGTGGGATACCCCTCAAGCTCCCTAACATGGCAAACGTGACCTTTATGCACTGGTCATACCCCCCTCCCTAAGCTCATCTTCTGTTCTTTCCCAGCTGATCGTGCATGATTCCTTTCAGAATCCATCCTGTTGTTTTTTGTGGGTTTTTTTTAGGTTTATTTACTTTGAGGGAGAGAAAGCAAGCACACAAGAGCATGGGTGGGGCAGGGGCAGAGAGAGAGGGAGTCAGAGAATCCCAAGCAGGCTCCATGCCGTCAGCACAAAGCCCGATGGGGGCTCGATCTGACGAACCGTGAGCTCATGCCCAGAGCCAAAATCAGTCGTCGGGCCCTCCACTGACTGAGTCACCCAGGCACCCCAGAATCCATCCTGTTTCTTGTTCCCATGCTTTTGTACAAGTGGGGCTCCAATGTGGGGAATCTTACCATAAAACTCCCTATTTAGCTCAGGAATTCCTTGCAGAAGGAACTCCCTCCTCCCCCACCATGCTTTTCCACATGGGATCGTAACCATTCGCGTAGTCTCCCCTAACGGACGGTACGTTCCTCTGCCACGTGCCTAAGACCATGCCCTGGCAGCCATTATGGCTGTCCTCCACACTGGACTGGAGAATCGTGACTCTCCGATCTCAAGGACCTAGATTCGAGACTGGAGCAAGATCTCAGTAATTGTTTTTGGATTTATTCGGATTTGACCTCTATCTTCTTGCCGTGGCTTTTCATTCAGAACTGTGACCACCACATCACCTCTGTATGAAATGACTTGCTGGCCGTACTGTCTACACAGTGAAGATCACCACGGGGAGCAACTGAGAAAATGGCCCTGGCCCCTCTGCACATGCTCTGACCCACTGATACCGATAAATTACCACTTTACAAACATGTTGATCCATTTCATGTTGTGAACTTTCTATATGATGGAACCACCGAATTGGTTGGTTCCTGGAAGGAAAACATGGCAGACCCACACCACGTAGGTAATTTAAAGACGGTGTTAAAAGAGACAGTTTACACACAGGATTGGGAATGGAGTGAAGGCCAAAAAAAAAAAAAAAAAAAAAGGCCTGAAGGCACAGGAGAAGAGAGAAGCCACCAGAATGTGTGGAAGTCCTGCCAGTCAGGTGATCTGAACAGTAGAGGAAGCATCAGCCACCGGCAGACCCCACAGGAGGAACCGTAGAGACAGAGATAAATCCCTGTCCTCACTCTTCAGCCTGCATTGAAAATCCAGCAGAGGCCAGTGGACTCAGGAGTG